TTTGTTTTCTATAATTAACATTGCTAACTTGCAACCTTTATCATAATTATCATGCTCCCACTAACATGACGATTATTACCATAACACTTATGCTCCCACTAGCTTTGACATGTACTCAGAAATCAACTGACTTTCTTACCAAAGTTCAAATTTCTGATACTAGATTGTTTTGATAAAACTTCATCAAAATCATACACCTTTCTTAGATAGCTCACATGTGAGTCTAAACAATTTTAGAACTATGAAAAGGGATGCTGTAATCATAGTCTCAATTGTTTAGACCTTTTCCACTTCTCACAAGTCAATGTTAGTGTGCCGGTAAACCACACACGCTCCACTAACGACTTTGAGAATGCAAATATCACAATTTCTATCTAGCTAAAATCTACTTAGTGAAAGTGTTTCCTCACCATCATTTTCATGAATCGGAGAGAAACCTTATGACACTTAGATTTAATAGTGTATGTGTTCTTATCCATGTGAATTTGTCAAAACCATAATCACAAGACAAGGTTAGTGACAAATCCAAACTCATATGGATTAAACTTGTGAAATCTTAAATTCTTTCCATTTGGCAGCTCAGGTGCCTGCCATTGCTTCCAAGTAGTTGTGAAACCAATTGAGAACTCTCAGAACTCTTATGCAAAGCTAACTTGAATAGGCACAAAAATTTCAACACGATAGGTTATAAACCTCAAGTCGTGTGCTAGTGAAGGACTTTAGGTTTTATTCTGGATTAAGGTTTGAAACTTTCAAGAGCTTTAAGGCTCCCACTGTCCTCTTGACATATAAGACTCCCTTGTTAAATATTCAAGAGATAGTGCAGATTCTTTAGTAAGACAAACACTTCACACAATTGGTCTAAGTTGGTCTCTGTTTTATCCAAAACATCACAACTTACCAATTTCAAATGTACAAGAGTATAAAAATTTTACTCTTACATTTGACAAGTGTTTTAAACCTTCTTTAAGACATGTCACTCAAGTTACAATTTTAGAGTATAACTCTAAGAATTGTTTTTGGAACGAAGTATGAATCGTCTTCTTGACTTAACCACTTGAACAATTCATAACTCCTCTTCTTAGCTATCAGAATGCACTTAGAGGATGAATTGTGATAAGGTCTCTTAATCATTAAGATGATCATATAACATGATACTAAAGTACTCTCCCATATTTTCAGATTTGAGAAACTTTTATCCTTCTGCCTAATTTGATTCTTCTTATTTGCTCTGCCATAAATTGGAACCTTTTCCAATGTCTCAGAATTACACTTAATCTTGTAAGTATAACCATATTTACTGAGCTTTAATAAATTATGACAAATAATCTTATTGATCTTTTGTGGTGGACTTGACCAGTGCACAAGAATGTGTACTCTATCCCTTAGGTCTTCACTTGACTCACATATACATGTGAACAAGGAACTAGTCTTAATTTTCCAAAGATTAAAAATCCGCATTCATCATGCTATAGAACTTGCATGATTCCAAGTTCCGGTCCAATTGAAACTTGGGTGAGGAGGATATTTCCTTATTTGGTAAATTTAGACATTACCACAAATGAAAGAATCAATTTCATATTTCCACTCTTGCTATTAATGGAATCATATAAGCAACAATTTTTTTTTCCTCAAATGTCATTGTAAGGATATTTAAATATAAATAAAATCATCATTTTTCCTTTTATTTTAAAAACTTTGCGGAAAAACTATCCTTACAATGCAAAAGAGCATGAAAACTCTGTTGTTATCTATTCCTAAGCAATGTATCTCATAACTCCTAAGAAGTAGCTCAAGAATCCGATCTTCAAACTATGCAATAGAAATCCATCTACGTGATCAGATTCAACATATTCTTTCTTTAAGTTCCTTCACTTTTCTTTGATTCTTAAAACATCACCATGTGACCCATTCACATCATGTATCAAGAATCTCAAAATAGAAACTTAGCATAGTTAGATAGTGGACTTTACCTGAAGTAGAGTTAAACTTATTGACTTTACCATCCTTAGGTAAGTTTGGCAGCTTCGTAACCAAAGCCCCTTCCTTTGGCAATAGAAACATATGGACCCTTAGGTAATAGTACATGGGACTATCTCAGATTTAGCCTTTCTCTTTACCATTTGGTCATCCAACTTGACTATGACCAATCCCTTTCCATTGGGAAGAGAATGCTTTTTCTGAATTTCCAGTGTCTTCATTGTTAGTGTCCATAAAGTTTTAGGAAGTTGATCTTAGCAAATAGATAATATCATTAAGGGTCTTGTCATAGTCTGTTTCATAGGTGTTCCAAAAGAACTCACTATGTGACTTAGAAAGTAGTTGAGCCACCAACTTTCTCAAGACTTTGACACCCAACTCTCCCGGCTTGTCAATATGTGACTACATCTCCAAGATGTGACAACAAATAGACCTTTACTTGCCAATAGGGCTTGAGTGACCTTAAAATTTTCAAGAACTTGTGAGTTAGGGAGAATAATTGTAGGAGGTGAAAGAAGTATGATTTCCATGGGACATCATCTTCATTTAGGAAAGCTTGTTTCAAGAGATTTGGGAAGATCATCTTTTGGGAGATATTCAAGATAGTTGATTTAAAGTCCTTAATATAACAACCAATATGAAATATTAAGGCTAGGACCCAACACAATACTTTTATAATTTGGAAGAGGGATTCCGTAATCCAAGCTATAAAATATTTGAAGGTAGGTGAATGACGATTCACCAATTTCCAGCAAGATAAACGAAATGTATTATTAGGTTTTAATTGGATTTGAAACTCTTAGATCTTTTGAGATTCATTGAACTTTTCAATGGCATGTTTCAATCTCGAGTGTAACCTTCAGGTTTTGTGACTGGGATCCCGAGGATCACAAAACAAGGTGTGAAGTAACCATGCAAATATACTAGGTACCCTTAATATTTACCCCTTAATCAATGTGCTGGTTAACCACACACGCTCCACCGATACTATGATAAATATTAAGTTACCCTTTGCCTACCTTGTTAAGTCCAGGTTAGTGTGCCGGTTAACCTCACACGCTCCACTAACGGCTTAAACAAAGTGCAAAGTGTAATTTCATGGGTTTGCACCAAATTCACATTTTCCTAAGTAACTAAGATTGGGTATATATAAAAGGTTTAGTTACTTAGTATTTATCATTAATACTTTTAATGAAGGGAGAATTATAGTCCTTGTCATACTTGTTCAGCTAACGACCCTCCACCAGTCAAGGAAGCGGTGGGTGAGGGTGGACACCTATTAAACTGCCATTTTATAGGCTGTAACCTTATACCCCCCTTATAGACCGGCTTCGTGAATGAGGCCTACTAACGGTAATACTGACTTTACTCTTATACATATATATAAATATTATTAACTTATAATATTATAAAGTATAATGGTTGAATTTTAACTTTTAAAATTCTAAGGATTAACTTGGAATTAAAGTATTCATAGGTGAAAACTTTTCATATTCCAAAACTTGAGGGCAAGCTTTGAAACTATTCAAAACCTTTCAAATTCATAACTTATGAGTTTAATGGTTCATTAAAATGAAGACTCTTCACTTTTATGTAACCTCTTATTCTTTAATAATACTTTTAAAGAAGTGAATTTTAAACATCCATAACTTGAGGACAAGTTTTAGAGTCATAAAATAATTTAATGAAAAAATACAAGTTTTTTACCAAATTGGTGTTTTTTAAAAACTTATTTACCAAACAAGTGTAGTTTTAAACATATTTACCATTTAGGGTTATACCAAGTAAAAAAAAGACAAAATAAAAATAACAAAGAAAAAAAGAAAAAAAAAATGTAAGACTCAACCACAGAGACCAGTCGACAGTCGACGTTCTGATACCCCAAAGTCCATCTTCAGTCGATCGCTTCTATCGTCATTCGATTTCGGCCATAGCCAACGCCGACGACTCCGATTCTGGACACAAACGGACGCTGCCGACTTGATTCCGGCGAGTACTCCACTGCAAAATACGATGGGGACCTGATTCTTCTTCGATTTTGGCCATAGTCGACGTTGGTGAATCTGATTCCAGCCACAACAAACTCGGTTGTAGCTTTATTTCATTGTAAGTCTGAATCCTCTATTGAATTTTGATTTCAGCTTGTTAGTTTTGGATTGATTCCAACTACTATTTGCTATTCCATTCCACTGTTATTTGCTTATTTGCAAACTCTTAGATTACATGAAACTAATATCCGGGATATATATTAAAATCTACAAGTAAAAGATTTTCAATTCTTTAGTTAAACTGTATGAATCTTGATTCAGTTCCTTATCAATTACAATATTGACAAATTTACCCTTGTATCCTATTTCCAACTTATACGTTTGCTTGGAATCAAAACACAATCAGATTAATAGCAATATGCCAATATCTCTTCTACACATTTCTGATTTTTTTATATCAATGCCGAATATGTCTATTGTTCCAACAATAATACATGGTTTTTAATTCATACTTGGTGTTGCCAATTGTGGCTCTTACTTTATTATAAATGATAAACAACTTTTCTGTGATTTTTTATGGTTATTACTTCATCGTGACTGATATTGTGGCTACTGCTTCTATTTTTTTTTGTGTGATTCATTTTGGTTCTTTCTTTTTTCGTTTGCTTATTTGCAATTGTTATTCCAAATTTGCTTTTTTTTTTGTTTGCTTCAACATTCATATTTTGGAGCAATTTTATGATTGAATTTATGTTTTGTTCTAGATGGAGGTTGTTACAATGCTTTGTTATTGGGGTGGGACAACCTATGATGGACCAGATGGTATAAATTATAGCAAAGCTCCAAAAAAAAGCAATCAATGTTAACTGTAGAATACAATTTGATGAACTGGTCGACCGTATATATCTTGCTACATCTTTTGATAAACAACACCACCGCATCAACTTAATTTGTAGATATCCATCGGTTGGTATTGGAAATGTTGTAAAATACATTCCTCTTCCTATCAAAGATAATGATGATGTTGGCATCATGTTTGATGTGCTTCATGTCCATCAAGAAGTAAGTAACATTGATCTCTATTTAGAGGTTGAAGACATTGATCAAATTCGACACATAGAGATGGAATCTAGGTATAGTCATTTGTGGTTTACATGATTTACAAGTTTCAACTTATTTTGAATGTGATAACTTATTTTGTAATATTTGTAGCAGAAATCATGAACTGGTTGTGCTAGAAGAGCAAAGGAAAAACGAGTTACAATTACCTAATACAAACCATGTTAATGCCATATCAGATATGATTCATAATGAAGATTTCTACACAATTTCTCAAGCTATTGTTGTGAGTAATGGAATAATTAGTGATAATGAAATTGATGAAGAAGATGACATAGGAGAAGAATATGATGAAGATGATGGAGTTGACATCACTCAAGAACATGAACCACCACATGTAGATCGGGGTGAAACATCTTTTGACAACAACCATCAAGTACCATTAACTTTTACCAATATAGAAGAAACAAATGTGATTAGTGATGGTAATTGGACTGTGTCACAATCAATAAGCAAGAATGATTTTACACAGGAGCTGGAAAAATATTCTTTCAAGGATAAAGAAGAACTTATGAGAGCTATCCAGCTCCAATGCATTAAGACACATAGACAATTTGAGGTCATTGAGACACACCCAAATCTATGGAGCATAAGATGCAAGTTGCATTTACAATCTGGTTGTAAATGGCAACTTCGTGCAAGTAAATGAAAATGGAGTGGAAAATTTTGAAATTACGAAGTACATTGGTCCACATACTTGTTTAAACAACAATATTTCTTTAGACCATACAATCCTAGATGCAAGCTTGATCGCTCAGGAAACCAAACACCTTATAAAAGAGCAACCTTCTATTGGTGTTCCTGCTTTGAGAGATGAAATAGTTGATAAATTAGGCTATACTCCTTCATACAAAAAGCTTTAGGCTGGAAAGCAGAAGGCAACCGAACAAGTGTTTGGCAATTGGGAAGAGTCTTATGCTGCTTTACCAAAATTTTTGTGTGCACTTCAGAAGTTCAATCCAGGGACTATAGTCGAGTGGTGTGTTTCAAGATCAACCGATACAGAACATGTGGAGTTTAGATGTGTTTTTTGGGCTTTTGTTCCTTCTATTAAGGGGTTTGCACATTGTCGACATGTGATTAGTATTGATGGCACACACTTGTATGGTAAGTACACGGGAAAGATGTTGATTGCAATGGGAGTTGATGGTAATAATCAGATTTTTCCACTTGCATTTGCTATTGTAGAAAATGAATCATATGATAGTTGGAATTGGTTTCTTTCTTATATCAAGAGTCATGTGGTGAAAGAGCGTGAAGGCATTTGTTAAATATCTGATCGTCATTTGGGAATCCTAAAGGTAGTCAATGAGCATGGATCTCCATGGTTAGAGCCACGTGGTTTTCATAGGTATTATTACTACTTTTTGTATAACTTTTTTCATAGTTATTATTTATAAGTAACATTAATTTTTTTACTCTATAGGTATTGTTTACGACATTTTATCAACAACTTTAATGACAAGTTTCACAATTCAGAATTGAAAGCTTTAGCTTATCGTGCTGGGAGTCAGAATCAAGTTCGAAAATTCAACTTCATCATGGAAGAAATTGGGAAGCTAAATCCACAAGCTCGACAGTGGCTAGAGAGACATCCACTTGATAGATGGGCACTCGCACATGATGGTGGGAGGAGATATGGGCTTCTTACAACAAATTTGTCAGATATTTTTAACAGTGTACTTAAAGGTGCTCGTTTTTTACCAATCACGACATGTGTCCAACTTACTTTCTATAGATTGGTACATTATTTTGAAGTGAGGCGTCCTTTAGGATCTAGTGCCCAAGCTAATGGAGATGCATATACTCCTCAAGTTGTTGTAAAACAAGTGGCTTTGATGTCAAAAGCAAGTGCACACTCATTGAGATCTTTTAATCGAGAGAAGGGTATATTTGAGTTGATAACTCAAAGAGGAAAAAATGTGCAAGTAGTTAATTTGGACAAAAAAACTTGTACATGTGGTAAGTGAGAGATATTTAAATATCCATGTTCTCATGTTTTGAGTGTATGTGTCAAACTATCCTTGAATAGTTGGCAATATGTTCATAAATGTTACTCCATTGCAGAGTATTGTTCTACTTGGGCATCTGAGTTTTCCCCACTTCCTCATGAACCGTATTGGCCACAATCTTCATCTAGACAATTGCATCCAAATATAGAGCTTTTACGGAATAAAAAATGTCATCCTCGCTCAACAAGACTACGAAATGGAATGGACATCAAAGAAGGAAAAAATGGATACCTTTGTGGGATTTGTTGACAAAGTGGTCATAATCGGAAAAAATGTCCCTCTAAACCAAGGTGAATGCAGAGACATTAAAGCTAATTGGTTCAATCAATAGAAATTTATTTTTTCATTCCGTTTTTGTAAGAAGTCGTTATTGGATTTGTACCCAGAAAATATATCGTGCGTTTGATGTTGACTTTAATCTACGATGTCTAACATTATTGTTTTTATCAATTAATCTTATGTACAATTAAGGGCATTTTTTGAGATTTCATTAATTTGTTATGCTGCTTAAATGAGATATAATACATTTGTAATTTTTTTATGTAAGTTAATAGCAAATGGTTAAAAAAAATGTCAAAAGTTATATTAAAAAACACTAAAAATTAAAAAAAAATAGCTGAAAATTTTAAAAAAGTTAAGAAAAACAGTTTTGGTAAATATTTTGACTACTATACTGTTTTGGTAAATATATTTGAAACTACACCTATTTGGTAAATATTTTGACTACTATAATGTTTTGGTAAATATATTTGAAACTACACCTATTGTGTAACCTATGACACTTTTATGAGTTTTAAGATTCATAAATGTGACCTTTTATGTGACTTGAAGAAAAGTTACAAAAACACCATTTAGATTAATTTGGATAGAAAGCAACTAACAAATAATATTTTTCATCAATCTAAATTAACTCATAAAATAAGGTAACACAAAAAAAAACTTTTCATGTTCGATAACTTAAGAACAAGTTATGGAATTCTTTAATACATTAAGACCAAGTTTTGTAACTCCATAAAAAACTTTGAATCATTTTTTTTAAAACCTTTTTATATCCATAACTTATGGAGGTTTCAAAAAACTCTTTAGATCAAACTTTTAAACTAATAAAATAATCATATCATTTTATCATTTACTAAATTTGACCTAATTCAACTCATATAGAAAATGATTCAAATTTTACAAATAATTAGTTTTTCACAAAAACAAGTAATTATCTTAAAATTTGACAAACTTCATGTTTTTTTTTCTTTTTTTTTTCCTTCAACTTGAAAAAAAAATACATTTGAATTAAATATAATAGAAAACAACCCGTGGCTCTGATACCACTATTGAGTTTTGAGCATTCTAACACTCCTAAGTGTACATGCAACCCTAAATACATTGGATCTATGTTTTCTCTATTATACATGTAAATATGAACTTTCCAAGGTATTCATCCTAACTAGCATAATAATATGATTCATATGAATATATATATATATATATATATATATATATATATATATCAAGTTAGAATTACATACCTCTTTGATGTAGAAATTCTTCATGAATCTTGAGTGCCTAGTGCCCTAAGTGTGACACCTCAAATGGTTCACACAACACCAAATACACTTGGAATAACTTGAGAGAAACTTGAACACTTCTTGAAATCGTCTAGCCCTCACACTTACACATAGTGCACAATTTCTTGAGCCATGGGATTCTTTTATATGGTGGCTATTAGGGTTACACCATGTAACTCGTGACTTTACCCATTCCTTATGCTCCATGGATTTTAACCTCGATGGAGTATCCATGGGTCACCCCATGGACTTAGTCCAACATAAGGAATCTTGGATCACAAGCCCACATATATAAGAATGAATGATTTACACAATCAACCCATATATTTAATTAGTCTCCTTTTGATCACTTAATTAATTCTTGATCAATACTAATTAAATAACTTTATTAATATATTAGAACTTATAATATATTAACAAACGTTAAGTGTTATTTCTATCATTTTAGTCTATCCAAATCCATGATGCCATGCAACCCAAATGGAACGTACCGGGTCGGGTCAAGTCTTACCAATTATAGTTATGGACTTAGACATTAGTCCAACAGACGTCACCCGCCCCCGGACGTTTCCGTCGTCTATTCTGATGGTTCGGGGGTGTGACAGATTGGTATCAGAGCTATTGTTTATAGTAAACTAAGTATACCAAACCTTACATGGTATACAACTATAAACACTAAAGGGATGAAGTGCTCTGAACTAAAAGTATACTTTTAAAATATAAGTATTTTTACAAAAAGTATATACCTACATACCAGAAATAGTATCTTGTGTAGAACAAAACAAAAGTATTTGGATGTTGGAAACTGCGGTTAAACCTATGCAGTTATGTAATCATGTCTAGGGTTAATATAGCCTGATCAACTATATTCATTCGAGACATGACCAACATGTGCTTGGGAGTGACTGTGGTGTTGCAGCAAGCCTAAAACTTACCAAGTATCCATACAACAAGATGTCGATAGAACAAAACAGACAACTAAAAATACTATAGGAGTATTTTACTAGAGTCAAATACGTTGCAAAAATTCACTTCCAAGTGTTGCTACTCATTCCTTTTAGTGATAACTTATTTTCATTAGTAACTTTTCCTTGTTATCTATTAATAGAACACTCTAACCATCAGATTGAGATACATCTTGCTTCATATCTCTTGATTCGATTCCAGAGGACTTACTATCCTCTTCTTCCTAATTACTTTTAGAACAAGATGCCTCCAAAGAAAAGACCCAACAAAAAGAGCAACAATTCCTCGACGGATCCAATACCACCACCACCTCCTCAATTCGATCCCGCTATGTTTCTGGCAACCGTTACTGCCGTTGTGACTGCCGCTTTGTCACAGATTTACACTAGCGGCTCTAGTGGATCGGGGAGTGGTATTCATCCCCAGAATCATGAAGGAGTCAGGGACACCAGAAGGAGTGCTCCTATAAAGACTTCATGAATGCAAAAGCCACATCCTTTGATGGTAATGGAAGTGTTATTGACCTGACTCGATGGTTCAAAAAGATCAAGTCTATCTTCAAAATTTGCTCTCGTTCCGAAGCCAGTAAGGTGAAATTTTCCGCTTGCACTTTCACCAACAGACACCTGACTTGGTGGAATGGCCGGGTCAAATCCCTAACCCTACCGGTAGCAAATGCTATGGGTTGGGAGAAACTGCCCCAAAGCAACAACAACTGGTAGCATGGGGAGAATGCTAACGATAGGCCAATAGGAGGCAGTTGTAGATCCTACTGTTGTTTCGGGTACATTCCTGCTCGACAACTCTTATGTATGCATTCTTTTCGATTCTGGTGCGGATAGAAGTTTTGTTAGTCATGCATTCAAGCATCTTCTCAAACATAAACCCCAACCTTTAACTAAAACATCTACCGTTGAGATGGCTAATGGTGAGAAAGAGAGCACTAACAACATATTCATCTGCTGTACCCTTACCTTAAATGACCATTCCTTTCCAATCGACCTTATGCTTGTTTCCATAAAGAGTTTTGATGTCATCATCGGCATGGATTGGTTGATCTCCAATCATGCTGATACCCTCTGTTACAAAAAGTGATTCGTCTCAAGCTTCCCTTTGATGAAACCCTGATGATTTATGGCAATAAACTCAATTCGAACCTCCATATCATTTCGTGCATTAAAGCCCAAAAATTCCTGTGAAAGGAGTGTCATGCATTCCTATCTCATGTCGTTAACGAAAAACATGAATTTAAAGACCTCGAGAGCATCCCCAAAGTCTGCAACTTTCCTGACGTCTTTCCCGAAGAGTCTCCGGGAATTCCTCCCGAGCGCCAAGTCAAGTTTCGCATCAAGTTAATCTCCAGAGCTACCCCCGTAGCTAAATTTCCATACCGCTTAGCACCAGTAGAAATGCAGGAGTTATCCAGTCAACTTAATGAGCTGCTCAACAAAGGATTCATCAGACCAAGTTCCTCACCCTGGGGAGCCCTAGTTTTATTTGTGAAAAAGAAGGATGAATCTTTTCAGATGTGCATCGACTACCGCGAGCTGAACAGCTCACCATCAAAAGCCGTTATCCTCTTCCTCGAATCGACGGCCACTTCGACCAACTTCAAGGAGCCAACAAATTCTCGAAAATAGTCCTTAGATCAGGGTACCATTAGCTGCGAGTCCACAAGAGTGATTTCCCTAAGAAAGCATTTCGGACTCGGTATGGGCACTACAAATTTGTAGTAATGCCCTTCGGTCGATCGCACCGACGGTATTCATGGACCTTATGAATCGGGTGTGCCATTCCTTACTGGAAAAGTTCATAATCGTGTTCATCAATGATATACTTGTCTATCCCAAAAGTGAGGAACAACACATACAACACTTGATGTTAGTGTTGGAGTCTCTAAGGGCGGAGAAGCTATACGCAAAATTCTCCAAGTGCAAGTTCTGGATTCGGAATGTAACTTTCCTAGGTCATGTGGTAAGCGAGGAAGGCATACACATGGACCGTTCTAAGATTCGGGTGATTGAGAACAGGTCAGCACCAAAGATGCCCACAGAAATCCATCAATTCTTGGGTCTCACTGGCTATTATCGTAGGTTTATACAGAATTTCTCCAGAATTTCCAAACCCTTAACCACTCTGACTCAGAAAGGTGTACCCTTTTATTGGAGCAAAAAGCAAGACACTGCATTCCAAACATTGAAGCAGGCCCTATGCAACACACCTGTCCTGTCTCTGCCTGAAGGGACAGAGGACTTTGTTGTCTACTGTGATGCATCCAATCAGGGCCTGGGTTGTGTGCTCATGCAGCAGGGAAAATTCATTGCTTATGCCTCAAGATAGCTAAAGACACACGAAGTAAATTATACAACTCACGACCTGGAGTTGGGAGCTGTGATCTTCACATTGAAAATGTGGAGACATTATTTCTACGGAACCAAGTACGAAATATAAGTGTGAAATATGCTACCATCTCGGCAAGGCCAATGTGGTGGCAGATGCCCTCAGCCAGAAGGAGTACTTAGGTCGTAGAGTGAAGGAACTGACAAAGACTATCCATTCCCATTTATCCACGTAAATCAAGGAAGCTCAACTGGAAGCTTTAAAACCAGAGAACATGTCGGGTGAAGCCTTGGGAGGAATGGAAAAGAACCTAGAGATCAAGGGAGACGAAGTCTATTATTTCATGGACTGAATCTTGGACCCTAAAGTTCAGAGGATACA